TCATTGTTCATTTTAGTAGAATGAAAGCATCAAAGAATTCCAGGGTAGGGAAAAAGATTTAAGATGTGTTGACGTTGTTGTAATCAACAAATGTGAAAAACTACAAATATGAATCCACAGTTTTCCATTTTAGCTGCATTTTGTCCAAAATAGTATAGACCACTGGTGTATGAACGGAGTCAATTAAAGTGCGTCCCGACCCCAACAGTTGACCTCAGTTTAAATCACTGCGTGTTAAACACTTGCTTAAACAATTGGGACATGGCTCCGTGGAATTCGATGATGACGATGTCATACTATCGGGGCCGGGCCGGTGAGCTAGCTCAGACCGCGTCAGGCAAGGCGCAACCGATCCCTAACCCGACGCCTAGGTCTGATTTCCGCCCTCGGGGTTGGACGCGGGTATCGATTCAATTAGGTTCTCTTCTTCACCCACCCTCCCGAGGAGGTGGGAAAAGGGGGGGTTGTTCAGATTCGCCAGGCAAAGGAAAACTAGGTGATGAGTGCACGGTGGTTCCTGGCACGTTTTGGGACGTGCTTTGAGCCCAGTGTGAACAGTTATGGGGAGTTGTTTTCATTGAATAGTGGCAAATTTTGATGAGATTAAATGAAATTTGAAATGAGAACCTTTGGGCATTTGCTAAGTTTTAAACTTTATTATGATGAAATGAAGAGGAGGTGAAGGCTGTACCGAGTTAAAATGTAATTCTTAGATATAAAATTGGTCAGTGAGGGTGATATTGATATATTTACAGAGAGGGGGATAGAGGGAGAGGGAGAGAGAGAGAGAAAGAGAGAGGGAGAGACAGGGAGAGACAGGGAGAGACAGAGAAAGAATACGAACAAGGCTGAGAAAGAGATATAGAGAGCAACAGGGTGTGGCAGATATGTGAAGAGACTATATGCGGGATGGGAGTGAGAATATGGAGAAACAGAGAAAAACATTAGGAAGAGAGAGAAAGAGGGGGGGGGAGAATAAGAAAGTATTGAACTTGGGGATGGCCAAAAGATTTAGAATTTCTTGTAAGTCAGCATTGAGAGTCATCGGATACAGGAATAATACCCCAGAAGTATTGAACCTTAAAGAAATCTTAAAGATCTTTAAGCGAACGTTAGGGCCCCACTCACAAGCTTAGCTTCTAAAGGGGTCCTAAAACCATTCGGTTTATGATGTAATCAAGTTAGAATATGTTGATTGATGTACTATTACCAGTCTCTTTTTTATGTAACAGATTATATCATGCTTTGTGTGGTTTTGAATAAAATGAACTGAACTGAACTGAATTGAACTGACTCTTGATAGCGGTTCATGTTAAACGAAAATTAGTATGAACACATCCACAAACTGATGATAAGGGATGCACAAAAAAAGAAAGGCAAGAACTCTCCATCAATTTCCTTACGATATTGAATTCTACAGACAAACTGTTGTGGTCAGAGGAACCCCACCGCACCACACAGTCTTATCAATTCACGATGAAACTTAGTTATCCGAGACAAAATTTGCATGTTTTACCCATTCGCCCGCCGGTGCTTTTGTTATTAAAGGAAAGGAAAGAGAGCTGCAAAAAGAGGAAGAAATCATGCTAATGCTTGTGAAATACGCTTTTGTAAACTAAAATGATGCATAAAATTGGACAATGCAATATAAATTTGCCGAGGAACTTTTGTGTAATTATGCAGTGTGAATTTTATTGTCATAGATATACATGTACATTTTCTTTAGCCACCGTCATTACATGATGATATAACAAAATGTCATTGTGCATGTAAATTTTGTCGATTTAAAAAAGGTTAACTACTTTTGCTGTATAACTTTATTTGGCATGTAATACATTTTTGGAAAACTTTATTTAGAAAATTGGAGTGCTTACAGTAATTGGATAATGCATGGTACTGATACTCCTCTCTCCTGCTCTTTCTTCCTCTCTCTCCCCCTCTCTATGTCTCTGATGAGTAATTGTTAACTTCAAGAAGAAACTTTGTTTCATCCCCCTCCATACTATATCTATGTCCTTTTCTTTTCTCGCTCACCTGGTCTTTTAATTTTTCTTTCTCTCTCCCTCACTGCCTACCTACCCACCTTCTCTCTCTCTTCAACTCTCCTCTCCTCTCTCTTCTTTGTTTGTGGTTTTCCTTACTTTCCAACAGTTTCTTTACTTTCTACCTCTCTTCAATTTTCTCTTCTTCTCCAACTTTCTCTTTTTCACACTCACTCTCTCTCTCTCTCTCTCTCTCTCTCTCTCTCTCTTCCCTCTCCTTTTCTTTCTGTTCAATTCTCTCTCTCTTCCCCCTTGTTTCTCTTTCTCTCTCTCTCTCTCTCTCTCTCTCTTTCTCTTTCTCTCTCTCTCTTTCTCTCTCTCTCATGTTTGTGTAAGGTCTAGACCATAGAATTCCCAAGAGTAATTCAGTGTTCTGCTTTGAGCAGTGCTTTTGTTTTGCATTAAGTGTGGGTAGTTTTATGCTCCAGATACATTTGAACCGCCATAAAAGCAGGAAAGAAAACGGTTGAATTAAGAGAACTTAAAACAAGGTCTCATTGTGTAAATGGAAAAATGAAGAAGGCTTTCATGGTATTTTATGTAGTCATGCATAAGACAATGCAAAGTGTACTAGGGATTTTCAATTTCAATTTTCAGAAAGGTATTAGGATCAAATTTTCTATTTTACCGGTACTCATATTTCTTGTGCTTCAAGAATTTTATATATTCTTTTTCTCTGGGAGGAAAAAATGGAATTTTCTTGTAAAGGGAGAGGTTTTTTTGATGGATTTGTTTTTCTCCTAGGGGAAGGAGTTCAGCCTTGCTTCTAGAATCCTCTTAATCTCACCAAACTATGGTCTATATCTTTTTACCTTTCAGCTACTCTTGCACAGATACAGGAGTAGATTTAGAATGGGAATAATTAGTTTGCTTTATTATGATTAGATGAGGTAAAGACTTTATGAGAGAGAGAGAGAGAGAGAGAGAGAGAGACAGAGAGACAGACAGAGGTAGAGACAGAGAGAGAAAGAGACAGAGATAGAGACACACAGAGACAAAGAGAGCTGTCTAAAAGGATTAAGGGAATTAAAGAAGGGGGATTGTTTTGCAAGGCATTACCAGCTTAAGAACATCAGGACTGAAGTATTAATTTATGGAAAATGATGTTTTTGTTGAAAGCTGTAATTGCCATTTAGCTGAGGGCAATGCAATGAGCACTCCTCATTTATTCTGCTTGTTGTAATGGCTTCCATCATTTTTCTTCTTCTTTTGGTGATGTTGGTTGGCGGTGAAGCAGCGTTCAGGGGGCGATCGATAGAATTGCTGGTGTGTGGGAGGGTATCCACGGCCGAACAAGATCCAGCGGTGTGGTATGGTTTGGCCTGGATATCATGGAATTGCGGGAACATTATTTTGTGTGTGGGTGGAGCCATGTTTCTGGAGGAAGGGGAGGGAGGGAGGGAGGGAGAGAGGAGAGAGAGGAGAGAGAAGGAGAGGGGAGGGAGGGGTAAATGGGGAGGGGGGATGGAGAGAGGGTTGAATATAATGTGTTGTAGTTAAAATAGAAAGCTTGAATGGAGCTAGTGTTGAAAATGAGGGAGGGGAGGGGAGGGGAAGGGGGATGGAGAGGAGGGGAAGGGGGATGGAGAGGGGGATAGAATATCATGTGTTGTAGTTAAAACAGAAAGCTCAAATGGTGCTAGTGTTGAGAATGGTTGAGGTTACCTCTTTTTAATGTGCCTCCTCTTGAGTGAGATGGTAATGCTTTTGACTTCATAAAGTTAACCTGCTTTTGTAGGTCGCCACTTGACAGGTTCTTAGGCAATATTGCAATGAGAAATAAAGATAGGAGCGGTGACATTTTGTCTGAAAGCTTCTAGGGTAGTAACTCCATTTGAAAGCATATGGGTTAATGCCCTTCTGGCTCTCTGCTAACAAAGTGTTAAAGTGGAAGAGAGAGGAAGAAAGAGATACAGAGAGATTTAAGGAAAAAGATTTTGAAGTGGGTGAGAGAAAGAGATGAAGAGAGAGAGATAAAGAGATGCAGAGAGATTTAAGGAAAAAGATTGTGAAGTGGGTGAGAGAAAGAGATGAAGAGAGAGAGAGAAGGGAAGTTAGAGAGATATATAAAGAGAGGAGAGAAAATGTTGAATCAAGAGAAAGAGATGAAGAGAGGAGAGAAAATGTTGAATCAAGAGAAAGAGATGAAGAGAGGAGAGAAAATGTTGAATCAAGAGAAAGAGATGAAGAGAGAGAGAGAAGAAAAGTTAGAGAGATAGATAAAGAGAGGAGAGAAAATGTTGAATCAAGAGAAAGAGATGAAGAGAGAGAGAGAGAAGAGAAGTTAGAGAGATAGATAAAGAGAGAAGAGAAAATGTTGAATCGAAAGTGGTTAGCAGGGGAACAACACAAATTCCATACCTTAGAAAATTTGTTGTGTATCAAAATCGACCAGGCTCATCATATTTATATTAAAATCAATCTTTTTGCAACTTTTCCCTAAAATTTTCCTTCAAATCAAACTTCTTTGCAATTAAAGATGACTATCGATTCATTACTCCACATTGACTTTGAAATGATCTGTGATATTATTGAAATAAACCTCCATTCCTCTTTCGATGCGGCATAGCCATGATGTATTGGTTAAAAAAGCATTTGATTTCTTTCTTTGCAGCTTTTGCACAAATCCAATATCAAAACAACCCTCTTATGGGCATAAACGCTTCAAGGCTTCATTGATTCAGTATTTAATTCTCCTTCTTTCCCATCTTTCTTTTTTTTGTTTCATCTTCTTCTCCGACATCTCCGATACCATCCTGATCAATACCATCTCCATCATCAACGTCATCATGTTGCTCTATACAATACATGGCTCTATTACCTACCCTTTTGGCTGCTCCTCCTCGCTTCATATGGTTTTGCACATCTTCGCCGGTTGGTCCATCTGCCCACCTGTGTACATTCATTTTTCGCTGCTCCCACTGATATTATTCTGCATCATTGCTTTGGGATGAACAGCAAACGTACCTGGAATGGGTGAGTAGAATCAGCGTAAAATTGTCCATTCTTTTTCTTGAGACCAACCAGCCCACCCCAAAACAAAATAAAAAAATAAAAAATTCAGATGTTTGCAGATTAAAAAGCAAAAGTGAAACCAAAGTTTGTTACATACCACAAATATTGGCTCTGAATTAATGCTGTCCTGACAATAGTTTATTCATTACTCACATAGGTGATCAAACTTGGAATATAACCGAATATAACCGTGTAGGAGTGATATTTCAAGCTCATGTTTTTAATATAGTATTTTGACTTGGAAACCAAAATGTTCAGAGCAAAATAAATAATGATGTTTGGTACCTTTCAGACATTTGCTATCTTTTAAGGTATATTCGAATTAAGAAACTCTGTATGTTATGACGCCATAAGGGCTCGTTTTTTATATTCAGTAAAAACGGTATACTGTTATTTGAATACTGTTATCTTATTTTACATGGTATTTCAAGATGTAAAGATTATGTTTATCAAAGGTAACAAGATTGAAATAAAGACTTGTCTCTGCCATATCATACAGACAAAAAATGTAAAGAGAAATTATTTACATTTCATGATAATGTCATATATTTGCTCATCATTTAGGCATTTGAAAGTGTTAATAATTAAGATAACTTATAAACAAATTCATTGGAATCATATGTATTTTTTAAAGTTTATGAATTGATTTGAAACACTAACATTAAACTTTACAATTTGAAATAGATGAAAGACTTGAAGAATCGAGGAGGATTGGGCAAGGTGCGGACTTTCTTGTTTGGACGTCAAGGAGCAGAGCGCCCTCTAGAGGACAAAGAAGACCTAGACGAAGGTAAGCAACAACAACAAAAGTTTGTTTTCCTTTGTGACATCTGTTGTTTTATGTGTTGAAAATGCAAGAGGTGTGACTATGTTTTATTTATTTATTTATTTATTTATTCATTTCGGTTTGAAAAGACATATCAATATACATGATTCAAAGATCCAAGGAGCAAAACATGTTTACAAGTAATATAATAAAGTTATAGATATAGTAAATATACAATACTGAGCCAAACAGACAGCTGTAACAAGTACAAGATGGCAATGAAGATGTGCTGGTTTGAAAATAATACAACTCACTGATGTAAATATGAGAATCTGAATACTTTTATATTGTCCTTTTCCCCCTTTTTTCCATCCATGTTCAGAAAACTAGTTTTATTTGTAAAAATCAAGTATTTTGCTCAGAACAAAGTCATAAGAATCTTTGTAATGAGAAATTAGAAAGATATTTATCAACATTTCATGGTTTATTATTGACAGGACAATGTACCTATTGATTGCTTGAACCTACCTTGAATTTGAGAGTGCATTTAATGTGTGATGAGTGAATGCAACATTTGTAATATTTGGATAGCTGAAGAGAGTTTGAAGACATTTTGGTACTAGAATTTGAATTCAATTATATATTGCACATTGTACAAATTACCATACAATGTAAATACATTAGAATTACAACAATACAGCAATCATTGTAATAAAGTATTCTCAAAACAGGGTCAAATTATGATCACATATTTCACCGAGAGATATAGCAAACATGATTGGGCACATTCACCTGGAATGAATTGTTGGGTGGTTGCTATTTTCTCTTTATGAATTAAGAAAGACAATTTTCTTGGGTTAAGTTGTTCTTTGAATCCATTATGTTTTCAGGAATTCGTTTTCGAGTGATTGTCCACAAACATAGGTGTGAGTTTTAGGTCTGCTGCATGGCATGTTCTAAGGTGCATGTCTCGTTGATAAGATCACTCACACAAATATCCATATGTGGGACTGATATAATTTGTTTTGGAGAATTGTTCAGCCAGCTCACACAGATTTGAATGCATGGGAATGCAGTTTTCTTTCAAATTAAGAACCCTAATGCAAGGACGGGAGCCAAGAATACTGCATGGAATAATTGTGAATGAGGTAGAAAAGTTGCAGAAAGTTAATATGAAATGTATTTTATCTAGGAAGTTTTTGATAAAGTTATATTCAGATTTTTGAAAAAGCCCACAGAAAATTGGCCTCCACCAGCATAAAATAAATAATGATAATAATTATCCTTACTTATATAGTGCCTAACACTTACTTTATCAGAAGTCTCTAAGCGCTCTACAATAATGCAGAATAATTACCCTGGCTTTAGCAGTGCAGCTGTTACGCGCGCTGCGTTTCAAGGAATAAAATTCCTACCAGGTAATCATTTTCTTCACCTGGGTGGAGTGTGGCAAATGTAGATCAATGTCTTGCCAAAGGACATTAGTGCGGTTGTCAAATGTCAGAGACATTCTCGAATAATCATGCATTGCATGGTATTGAGACCAAATGAATACTTGAAGAGGGGAACATGGAATCATGAAAAACTCCTTAAACTAATTTGCATCATATTGTTAATTCTAAATATGTAAGTTAATCATGGGTGCGCTATCATTATATATTTTAATTAATACCCTGATTAACCAAAAATGTTTTTAATCAAAAGACCCAAAAATTAGATTCAGAATATAGCATGGATAGCTTGTGAGATTTAAGGCAATCGTTGTGAGTAAAACCTTGCACAAATTTTCATAAGACTACCTTTGAGAGCTAACTAATAATGATGATAAACACAGGCCACAGACTGATTGAGGAGGGATCCAATTGAAATGGAAGGACAAGCCATAATAATAGATGTGGTTTCATCAGCATGACAAGTGTGATAAAAGATAATCTCATCATTCAATAGCTTGTCACTATTAGGGATAAAGTGTGATTCATTTTGCAGCACGTTGTTATCAAATCACTATTGTATCGTCGAAAGGCAAATTGGCAAATTTCTTTTCACTCTCTTGTTTGGCCAATTTGATTTTCACTTCGATGATTGAAATGTGTGATTGGCAAGTCATCATCATTGCATTGTGATGATTAGTTTTGCTTGTGCACTTGAATATAATTTCGTTTTATAACAGTAGGGGAAATTAAATTTGGGGCTGCCCTGGTTTTCAAAATGACGGATCTTCAATTTGATATATTAATTTCCATTTTCCAATAAATTGAAATAAAAAGTAATATTTGCTGATCTTTTTAAAGTAATATTTGCTAATCGTTTTTTTAAATAACAATTAAAAAAAATAAAAAATTCTAATATGGATTCGTATTTCATATATGGATAGAAAGAAACAAAAAAAGAGGTTTACAAATTTAAAACCATCAGGGAAATTGAAAAAAAATATCTCAATCTTTGTTGGTATTCCCAAAAAGAACTTCAAGTTTTCAGTTGATGATATTTTAATGCATGAGCATTTTCTTCTTGCAATTTGTTTGTCTTTCGTTAAGAACAAAATGTGCCTTCATGACAGCATTTTGGGCAGTAGCATATTCTGCATCACATCTCTTTGTTTGCGCATGTTTAAGACTCTTTGTCAATTATCTAATTTGAAAATATTAGATGTAAGACTTTTAAACTTGACAAATATAAGGAGGAAAGGATTAGTCCTTAAATGAATCTAGGTACCCCCCCCCCCCCCCAACACCCTTGTCAAGAAAATGTTTTACCTCATGTGGCGGTCCAGGCAGCAAACGTGCGTGCAGAGTCAAACGACATTAGTAATGCCCGTTGCCGTCCGAAAAAACTTGCGGGGGTTAGCACCGCGAGACCTTGTTGTCCCCTAGCCGATAATACGCTTGACATACTTTCCATATCCGCTTTCAGTCACGACTGGTCCGAATCTGTGGCAGGCAGGAAGATGGGGGAAACTGGAGATGGAGAGAGAGAAAGGGGGGGGGGGGAGCAAGATATATATATATATATATATAGAGAGAGAGAGAGAGAGAGAGAGAGAGAGAGAGAGAGAGAGAGCAGAAAGATATATTTATTGAGAGAGAGAGGGGGGGGGGCAGGAAGATAGAGAGAGAGTGAGTGAGATAGATAGAGAGAGAGAGAGAAAGTGGGAGAGATAGATAGAGAGAGAGATAGAGAGAGAGAGAGAGAGATAGAGAGAGAGAGAGAAAACAAATGGAAAGATTCAGATAGAATATGGGAGAGGATCAGAGTTTTCTCTCTTATTCTTTATACAAAATTATATGCATAAATATATATTTGTATACAAACTATATCAACCCGCATGATGAAATTCAAAATGCACCAAAGAATTTCCAATTTGTGAAAACAGTGGTTGTAACAGATTAAAATATGCTAAGGCTTGACTATTTGTATAAATGATTTGATAAATTATGATCTATTATTCATTTATTCAGAAAAGCCTTAATGTCACTTTGACATATTGCAATTCTAGTCAAGTTAGGTTTAAAGGTTCAGATGCCTTCAGGAAAGCATTCAATCATACCAGCTCAACTAACGATCCTCATGCCAGCTGCTTGTTTAGTTCAACGTCACAACGCTCATTTGAAGTACGAAGCATGTTCATATTTTCCTTAAATCTAGTAAATATCCACACTTTAAGAACTATTACTGGTAGGCAAAAGATTGTTAAACATAATGTTTATTAATTGTTGACCGGCTTTTAGGCAATTATAGGCACACATTGGAGAATAACTAGATGAAATGATGTTGGACAATACGACAGTTGGACCAAATGGCATCGGACTGATCGGCAAGTCACCATTTAAATTAATACAAACTGCAGCATCAAGATGTTTCATCAGAACCCTACTGTTACATCTAACCCTATAGTAATTCTATGAAATCATATATCACTCTGCCCTACAAAAATGACATAACTAGGTTTCCTCGATGGCGTAATGAATATTTTTCTCGACGACGTAGTGAATGATTTTGAAGTGATGGGTTTGACAGTGCAGGCCCTCTGTGACTCTGTAGGGAGTGCAAACTTATGACTGTCCTGAGAACCATAGAGGAAAATTTGAAGGTTTGGTGATAATTTATGAGCAGAATTGTGTAATGTTTGGGTGTAACTGTACCTGTAGTGCCCTCTTAAGTTTCATTTGATTATTCAAACATGCTTGCTCTGTGCAGTGGACTTGAGCTCCTCTACGGCATGTATCAAGGGGTCTTCAACACATGCTCTGGCAACATTTGCTCTTGCGCTCTCTCCGTCTCTTTCTTTCTCTGTCATTCTCTATTACTTTTATCTCTGTTGGTTCTTCCTCCTATTTATCCTCTATCTCTTGCTCTTTCTCATTTTCTCTGTCTTTTCTTCATCTCCTTGTTTTTCTATTATCTTTTCATCTCTACCTCTGATTTTCCCACCGGATTTTCTCTTCTTTCCCCCCTTCTTTTCCATTCTTTCCCCTTCTTTCTCTTCTTTCTCCACCCTCTCCCTTCTTTCTCCTTTCCCCTTTCCCACTCCTTCTTTCCCCCTCTTTTCCTTCCTCTTTCCTTTATTTCCCCCTCTTCCACTTTCCAACATCTTTCCCCTACTTCCCCTCTTTTTCTCCTTTCTTTGCTCTTCTTTCCCCTCTTCCCAATTTCCTCCTCTTTCCTCCTCTTCCCCCCCCCCCCATGTTTGTCCCTTGCCCCTCCTCCTTCCCTTTCCCCTTTCACCTCTTCCCCCTCTCATCCTCTCTTTCACCCTCTTCTTCCATCTTTCCCTATCCCTCCTCTTCCCCCTTCCCTCCCCCCCTACCCCCTCTACCTTCATCCTCCTCCCCCTCTCCCTCTCTCTTCCTCCTCCCCCTCTCCCTCTCTCTTCCTCTCTCCCAAAGTGACTGTGGTTGAACAAGATGTGTATTGAGTGCCTTGGAGGTAAATAGGGAGAAGGCTAAAAAGTTGAGAGAAACTGGAGCCATCAGGTGCCTCAATCAATACATGATTCCTTGATGACTCGAAGGGAGATGTAGTGT